TGGCGGCTAGGCTGTGCGGGCTCGGGCGGCTCCTCTGCCACTGCGGGCGGAGGGCGCTGGGGGAAAAAAAAGAGTCGACCCGGAGAGAGCGAGTTTTGCGTTAGCACTGCCTTAAGGTTTTAGAAGGAAATGATGAAATTGGTTATTTTAGATATTTCATTGCAGACTGGTGATGTTTGAAACCCATATCGGTGAGTAGCTCGGGGTCTTTCAGAGGAGAGGCTGCGGCCCCAAAGTCACCACGTTGCCGTTCAGATGTGTTACAAGTCTTGGCTCATCAGCCGCTGTGTTCCCTGCAGTCCTGTGCCAGGAGACAACCATATACAATGGAAGCACTTTAGTCAGATTTATTTATATGGTTCATTACGGTCATTTTGTCTGACGTACTATTGCTATATGAGTCACTTTATTTACATGAGGTTGGGCAATGCACAATATAGTACATGCAGAATTTTATTTCAATTTTGAAGCATAAATGTAACATTCTTCGGAGTATTGGAAGCCAGTGGGCACCCTGAAAACAAGGTATATGAACGTAGCGTTACTCTAGGACGGCCGTTCCTACAAGACACTTCTATAGGCAAAAGAACAGAGTAAAAGAAAATCACGTTTAATATGATTTGAAAGTCGCATTGTGTTTAAAAAAAACCAGCAACAGAAACCTCCTAAATGGTTACTATGGTAAAGCAACAAGGCCCTAGAACTGACAAGGGAGAAACAGTCTTGGAAGTTCAAGGTGAGATATGCTCCAAGGGGATCAACAATATATGGGATAAAGTATATCTTTCAGAAGAAAAACAGAAGGGACAACAGCTTTAACAACTGCTGGATAAATTTAAAATACTGTATGTACATGTTGTAATGCTCCCTCTCTTAAGTCCTTCTGTAACTTTTATCATTCATTCCTCCTAGAGGTTCATCTCTTTATGTTCACGGGCCCAGGACCTCCATAAACTGGACTCATGGGAGTAAGAGATTTGTAAGGAGGGAAGCATGAGTTTGCGAAAGTGGAGTTGGACAGTCAAGGACCCGAAGTAAAAGGGCCTACTTTGGAGAGATATCAATGCAGAAGAGCAGACAGGGGAAAAAAGCTACTATCAGGCACATAAAAATACTAGAGGTCAGCTGTTGAAGTCGAAGCACTTGGCCAGTCCTTTGGAAACGTGACTCATTTGCACTGAATGCGAAATAGAATGTTTCCATTAGTAAGAAGTGTGACTGGAATTAGTCAGTATATCTAATAATACATGTTCAGCCTAGAGGAAAATAACGCGAGCATGTTGAATTAGTTAGAACCAAATACATTAGAAGCCGCAAGCAATTGCCATTACTTGGCAGCTACTGTAAGTGGTTATTCTGGGCTCCATAACAACTGAAGCAATTTTTTTTTTTAAAAGCTGACAAAATTTTACCTTAGAAAACTTTCCCTTGCTTATCAAGGATGAGAATTCTCTTTGAATATATTTTACACCATTTTTTGTTACAGTGCAGTAACTGAGGCATATCTAACATAGTATAAACTTTCAACATAGGGAAACAGCAATGCATATAGACAAAAGCACCATGCTTTTTTGATAACTTCTTGGGAAGGAGCCCTATTTTTTCCCTGATACAATTAGAACCACAGTAAGGAAAAAATTAATTGCTGCATTGGTGGGGGGGGGGAACCTTTTAAGGGTAAGATTCTGGAAACAGCTAACCCTTCAGGAGTATATTTTGCTGTTTGTACATACAGAAACATTTCTTCTATTGTAGGAATCAATTCCAGCATAATAATGTGGATCTCAATTTTTTGTACATGACCCACTCCCCCCAGAGTAATACTGTTATAGACACCTCTAAATTCCCACTTCCTACCCACATTAAAAAGTAAAGTTTAAAATCACGTAACATCTCTGCTGCTGTTTACCATACAAAGGTTGGCATGGTTCCATAAACATAACTTCTTGATAAAAAGGTACAAGTAACTGCATTTACAAACATCGTATTTCACAGTTGCTGACTGCACAGAGGTAGGCTGCTGGTAATTTTCAGCCTGCAGGAACGCAAGCACTGCATAGTGCAGTTACCTCACATGTTCTTTAGTAAACTAAACTAAACTCCTCAGGTAACTACAGAAACAAATGTATAAAGTATCCGGGCAAAAATAGTTGAAAGCTTTATAATAATAAAAAGAGCAAATACAAGTTTTCGGAATAGAAGTGAAACTCACAGAAATTTGCTGCCCTCTTCCATATGCTTCTCCTTCCAAAGCTAGACCATTAGTCCCCTGTCAAAACACACCCAAGAAAGATGCTTCTACACTTTTTATGCTGCACAGAACCCACCTTCATCCTTCCTGGCTAAGATCTGCTAAATAAGCTCAGCAATGACGCACCATGGAAGACTAATGTAGAAATACCACGTAGTAACTGTCCAGTTTTATCCTTCTCCTTCCTGTGCCTCAAGCCAGCCAAAGCTGACAGTTAACGTCAACACGCTGATCCACAGCAACGCTTTTCCTGTGCTGACACACTGAAGAGAGGGCATTTAAGTCAGTACTCTCTCTTCAAGATGTTGTAAATAACTATTCAATCACTGAAGAGAGAGATAATTTGATTTGAAATCTAACAATTCTCTGCAGACCTTCCACACACTATAATAAAAAAAAGTCAGAGCATATCACTTTGTAGAAAACTATGATGTGCAATTGTACGTTCAGAATGACATACGACTTCATAAAGGCAAAACTCAGAGAATGGACAACTGAATCCAAAAAGCTCCTTGAGCAAGAACCCATGAGAAAAAAATTAGTCTGTTATAAAACTACTACTAATGAAGACCTTTTAAAAGAATAAGTTTATTAGTCAATCACAATTATAAAATTTAAATGTCTATACAGCAAGATGGAAAATTCTTAAAGCAACCCAAGGCTCCAAACTCTTTTTTGCTGCAGTATACACAGGAATGGTTTCTTTTATGAGTTGATCCAACATCATCCTTTAGTTACTAAATAGCTTCTTGAAAGCATGTTGAGTTTTGACAGTAAGTTTCACATTTTTCAGTGCAATGCAAAAAAGAAAATCAAGACCACAATAAACTGATTTCAAAATAATAATAATAGACAGGCACTTTGAAGTCAGCTACTTCGTAGATAGCTGATGGTTAACACTGTTTGTCTGTGTTGCTATAGGTCAAAGGGTACAGATTAAATTGCTCCTTTGATGCACAAGCACAAATAACAGGTTCCAAATATTGTGGTTTGTTTTGCAAAACATGCAATAAAGCCCCCAAATTTTGAAAATCTTCTGTAGGAAAGAAGAAACAAAAGCAGCCAGAAATGGAAGTATTTGCAAACATCAGAATAAGGCCCTTTAGAACTTAAATTTATGTATGTTAAACCCCTTCATTCTCAGGTAATAGATTAAGAGGTCGAGAGACACATCGTCTGCGAGGGTGAGGATATTGAAGGTTGGCAGTGTCAGCATCGCAAGATTGCTCTATCAGAGGAGGAGGAGGAAGGAGCTGGGCATGACTGGACCATCTCGATCCAGCCCGTGGGGAATCCAGAGGGGGAAAGAAATACCTGAAACAGTTAAGACAGGAACAAAACACCAAAACAAAAACAAAACAAAAAACAGAAGAAAAAGAGAAAGGTAGTAAATACAAGGAGAACCAAAGGGGAGAAAAGACATGCTGGAAACAAAAAAAAAAAAATGCTTTAGTATATCCATGCCAAAACCAATAGAACGTAATAGCAGAAATCAAGGCTATAATTCAAAACGAGACAGATCCGGAAACTGTTCTCTAAATAAAGAGTACAATCTTTTCCATGAAAGTTCATAGAAAAGAATACTGTAGAAGTAATCCTAGCATACATTTTACAAAATAATAGATTGCTTGGAAATTAAAGAGATTGTGTAGCAGAACTATTAACCTGCTTTCACTCTCCCAGAATTCCTGTGACGTGTTAACAGGGCTTTTAGTAACGCTTCATTTGCAACAAAAGATGCAACAAAAGTTGCATTAAATATTAATGCAAGTACATTTTCTGCATACGCATCGAATTCAGATTTTCACAGCACTTCTAGAATAGACGTAAAAACCATCATTTTCTTTTTACAGGACGTTTAAATTTAATAATATACATTTACAGAGAATAACTACTTCCAATGAAATACAGTCTTTGTATGTATTTACATATTTCTGCAAAATCCTCAGAGAAAATTTTTCTGGTAAATGCAAGGCTCAGAGTTATGCCATTTCATGTCATTTTTTGCCACTTTTATTACATCTTACCCGTAATACTTGTGCATTTTACTATAGTTTTTAGATACCTAAACTAAACATTTTTCTGTCTTGTTTACAGTTCTGTGGACTTACAGAAAGGAATGCTATGTGATTAATAAAGTTATGGGACAATCCACATCAAGGTGCATTTTAGTTTTCAATTTTTATATGGCTCAAAGGCATGCATTTTTAGGATACTGTGCTCAGAAAGAGTTTTAGTTACTCCATGGAATCATTATCATAGGAATGTACAAATACATATCAGAAAAAGTACTCTTAGTTAGGATGAAGTATGACAGTACTTACAAAACATTTATTTGAAGTTGTACTAAGTTATAAATGAAGCAATACCAAACTATTAAAAGCTACCATCTGTACAATTGTCAAAGCACACTGTTTTCTTATTCCTTTAAGACTACAGTTTCATATATTACAAAGCAGTTACAAAGTTGTGATATTTAGGAACCTTAATCAGATATTAAACACTAAGAAATGTCAAACAATCAGCTATCGAAACAATTTCCGTGAATATTTTAATGGTCACTTCCCTCCTCCCATCCCAATCAAGGACAAAAAAATTCTCATTTTCACTCATGAACTAGCCTTAATTTCATTTTAATTTAACCTTCCCAAAAATTGTTTTGATGGAAATTTTTTCCACAAGGAGCCTCTCCAATTATTTTTCTATCAGATGTTCCAACAGTATCAAACTGTGTTGGCTAGTCCAAAAAAAAAAAAAAAGTACACAATGTGTTTTAGAAAGGCCTTTTGAACTGCGTTTAGTAGTTAGCTGGCTGCTGGTGTCTTGGGAGAGGTCAAACGGCGTTGGGGAGGGGAAAAAGGAGTTCGCTTTCCATTCCTGTGTGCATGCAACAAGCAGCAAAACACCAAAGTTACTCCAGTTAGCTTGATATCAGCTCTGCTTTCTGTTAAAAAGGACATAATACAAATGGAGAAGGGAAATCGTATCACAGATCTGGACACACACGATTATCAGCATAACAATACAGCACTACCGACTTTTTTCCCCCAACAATCTACATCGTCAATCATTCTAAAGCAACTTCGACTGCTAACCCACTTTGATGATCAGATGTGTTTTAACACATTAAACTTCTCCAAAGACTGAAATCTGGCAATGCTTTAGCTATTTTAAGTGTTTAAATATATAAACACTGAAGCGCAGCATCTACAGTCACAGACAAAATAAATTCTGTACATCATACCAATTTGGACAAATGTCAGTACATAAATCTTTATTTAAAATGTTAATCCACTAATAAAAAAAGTTAGCAACGATGTTTATGCAGTTCAAGTCAATGTTATTACAAGAGAAAACAAGTAGTTAAGTGCATCTTTTTTACAGTAAGGCTCTGTCCTAAGACAAAAAAACACATATTCTGAAATTCCACAGCCACAGACTTAATTCTGTAACAAAAAGTGAATCCCACACTGGAGCCCCGAGTAATTTCTAAATAACAACAACAAAAACTTTCAAAATGTAGAACAAAGGCAGGAGTCTAAAATAATTCTTGCCTGTGAGGAGTAAAAAAAATGCTGAAGTTTCAGTTTCACAATGGCTTACTACCAGCTTAAGGGAAAAAATATAAACATCCACTGGAGTAGAGTAGGACTGCCTTGCTGCCAGCAGCACAGTTTCAGACCAGACTGTGAAACCACACCCTACGCCAAAGAGGTACAAAATGGCCTTTATCTCCCTACAGGAGCCCAGGCAAATACAATTATACAGCTTTAGACATCGCATTTCCAAGACAGGACTGTGTTTCAGCACTTTGGCTAGGAAATAAGTAGCACCTCCTGGAGCTAGATGATCAGTATCATTTTGGCCTTCATTCTTGCTGGGAACTTGAACTGTAACCACCTCTTCCTCTCCCATCTATCTTATAGGAGGTTAACGTGAAAGCTTTTCTCTATTCAACAGAGCTAGGGGTCTGGACGTCAGAACTGCCTTTCAGAATTCACTGCCAAAGGGAAAAGAAACCAAACGTACCAAAACTCTCCAAAAGCAAACTGTGATAGTACTTCACAGGTGAGTATTTTAAACTGAAAGCCCCATTAGTTGTTGTATATGGATGGAAAGGGAGGTAATTCGATGGCATTAGAAAAAGTAACTGTGGCCACAAAACTTAGAACTTGCTGCTGTGGAATTTGGTCCCATGAGGTCTCTAAATAGGACACATCCTGTAAAGCGACTGCACACGTTCCACCATGCAATGCAGGATTCAATAGTTTATCGGGAGTATTTCTAGATTTTGGTGTGGACAGATTAAAAACTACTTATTTCAGTTAAGGCAGTTAAAGTTACCTACTAAACAGCAATCATGACAAAATAAAAGCATAAAGGAGAAAGAACATTAATTTGCAGTAAGAACTCCTTACGAATCAGCAAGATTAAAAACCCCAGAACTTTTATTCCATTAATGTTATACCTGCAAAAATGCAACTAAAAAAAACTAAAGTCAATATATGATTATTAAACTATACATTATGAAATATCCTTCTCCACTTCCTTTTTGCTGCATTATCCCAATCAAAAATGGAAATAGTGCCTGGTATTCTCACTGAACTTATAAAAACACATCTCAAACAGAGGGCAGCTGTTACTCAGCAGTACGATGAAGTTTCTCCTTGTTTGAAACTATTTCAAAAAATATTTTTAACAATGGGAAAGTGATAAAGTGAAAACAATTGTTTGCATTACTTATTTAAACAAAATGATTCAGTATTGGTCATGGTTTTGTTGGTTTTCCTCTTAACACTAGCATAATATACACCACCTCAGAGCAAAAACAGAAGAGCCTGGATAAGTATTAAAGCAATAAATGACATTGCACTTAAACATGAAACAGACATGAAAACGAAGCCAAATTAAGAGTTCAGAAGATTCAGAGAAGAGTATTTTCTGAAATTCACTGTCTGTACTAGTTAGCCTACCTGCCAGCAGACGATCCATTCAGGGAATTCTGTAGGCTTGTATTGGCTGAACCTAGAGAGGCATTAAAAATTCCCTGCTGAGAACTACCATTGACTGGACTCCCGTTACCTTTCAGTATACCAGTGCACTTCCAGTTGTCCATATAATTAGCTGCAAAAATATATATAAACAAAAAAAAGTTAGTTTATTTCCAGAAGCTCAGCTTTTGAAACAACTATGATGTTTCAATGGCTACGCAGCTAGTGTGAATTAGAATTGTACTTCAATACAGATACATACATTCAAAACAGCTGAGAATCTGGCCTTTTGTTTGTCTGACAGTCTCTGCGTACCCATTATTTAAATGTCAGTTCTGTTCACTAGCAAGAATGAGTTAGCTTTGTCATTATTAAAACGCTAACCGAGATCCAAATGAAAACTGGCTGAGGAAACTGTCATTGATTTTTGTTGCTGCTTTGGAAATTTGAACAGAAAAAAACTCCAGAAAGAACAGTTTACATGAATGCTGTTGTCATGAATAGAGATTTTCTGGTTTTGGTAGCAGGCAAAGAAAGCAATGCTACACGTATATTAATTTAAACAATTTTCTATCACTTTAATGCAGTGAGAAACAATTGGGGTTTTTCAGTTATTACAGTAACAACTATTCACAGCAGCCTAAAACATACCGCAAAACAAATGTTCAAGCACAAAAAGTTATTTCCTTTTCCAAATGCACACAGGAATATTAAGATCTACTATCCAAAAATCTAAAAGGAATGTAAGACTCCAATAATAATATATTAAGTTTTCTTAAGTATATTTTTAGCATACCATAAAGCTAACTGTACTTCAAGCGGACAACCTGTAGAATTCTTACCCTTCCATAGCCTAACACAGCCATCATCACCAGAGGAGGCAAGCACCGTGCCTGTAATATTCCAGCTCACTCGCCAGACCTGGGAATTGTGATTATCAAACTGAGCCGCAATATGAATTTCAAATTTTGTTAATCCTCCAGAAGTCGTCAACTCTTTCCTGTTTAAGAGAAAAATGACAGTTCTATACACAAGTGTTCAAAGGTCTGCCTTGAATTTGCAAATTAAGAGAAGGGACTAGGTCCTTCAAGGAGTTTATGTAACAACTGTTACTAGATTAGGAATGTTAAGAGAGATTCAGACAAAACTATTGTCTTGCTCATAGTCTTGTCTTCTTAAAAATCAGGCTCCTAGAAACAACTCGGCATAGATTAAATTATTTAAACAGCTATAGGTAATTTCTTTCCTTCCCAGATACTATTAAAGTAAGACTATATTGTATGCATCATATCATGCCAAATTATATTCCTTTTAAGCTCACCTTAGCGGTTTTAGTGTGAAAATTCGTACATCTTTGGTTGCTACAGCTAAGATGTGGAAGGATCTTCCCAGGTTTGGAGCAAAGGCAATATCATGTACAGGATCTGTGACTGTCATTAGAGCTTCTGCTTTTGCATATTTCCTGCAGGACAGCAGATAATAAATTAGTCGTAAGTGCCATCAAAATTGCCAGTGATGTAATTTAGATGAATCACACATAGGGGAAACAGGGGAAAGAGGGACTAGTGATGAGACCTGCAAAAAGAAAAACATTTTCTTAACACAAATTAAATTGAAAGTAATAATTACAAGCTGATTTCTTAAGAAATTGAATACATCAGATACATAACAATTGCTACTAGTAGCAGTGGGCTGAATCATAAAACAAAGCAAGGCTTCCAGTACAAACAACTTATTTCCGAGAACTGAAAAGAGAAATAAAAAGATTATTCCATTCACAAATCTAAAAGGAATTTATGTTCCAATAACTTATTCAATTTCTGTGCTTGTAAGACAACCACTATCTGCCTACTTTGCTGTCTAATAAACGTGCATTCCACTATATTCTCACCACAAGATAAGTTACACCAACTTTCATTTATTGTGAATGCACAGAGAACATTATCTGAAGCAAGGCATAAACCCACAAAACACCTTGGCTAGGTCCACATGGCAATCATTCTGAATGAAACAGGTTCTTTGCCATCTCTTAATTAACTTGGAACTGGCTGTGCATACACTTCCTGGCATTTTCTGGTTCTGAATCCTTAACGCTACAAACTGAACCATGTAACTTCTGTAGCGGGTTAATAATTCACAGAACTTCCTGCCATTATAAGCATACTTTTCTCTTCAACACTGCAGTGTTACATTTTTCAGCATCTTTAAGACAGCCTTTAAAAAACAGTGCCTAGTGCAGGCCAATTCAAGCATTAACTCTGGTCCTATTAACTCCCCGTGCAAAATTAAATACATAAATTAACACAAGGAGAAACAGCAATTCCCATTTGCAAACGCTGGTAAGAACAGTGGCATTTCCACACTGAGAACAAAATTATCAAAATCCATAACGTCCATTAACATCAGAAAACATTTTGAGGTCCCTCTTCCTTTTTCCCATCCTGTGGCACAGGAACAAGTATCAATTACTCTGGGCAGTTTTTCCAAGACAAACTCTTCACAGACAAAACCAAGGAAGGAATATATCATTTACCGCTCCTCTTCACGTGTAATGATAGGTATGAAATAAAAGGTCATATATTAAAAACTGTTCCAAGACCCATAAATGTTATACTGGTTAGTCGTTTAGCATACCTGGTGTTTTCGTTATATTCATAAATTTGAACCTTAGCCAATATATTCGGACTGTTGTCATCACTTCCTACAGCTATCATTGGAGAATGAGCTCGAGAACTAGAAGGTAAAATAGTAAATACTTTTACATTTATCGATTATTTCATAGAAAGTAAAAAAAAAAAATTTCAAAAAATGTAAAAGATTTCAGATATACATCTATTAAAAAAATAAAAAAACACAATAAAACATTAGTAAGCGTCATTCAATTATCTGTGCAACCTCAATTCTGTTGTCTTGAATGCCCACCTTACACATCAAATACAGATAAATTATTGGAGAAACATTATTTGGCAATTCAAGATCATGATAATGCATTTATCCAGAGAACAGAATTGAATTTACGTAGTCATCCACAATCAAGAATTTCCCATACGTTACAAAGCAGAGTCCGCATCCTATCCACTACTCTTACTTCATGATTTAACAAGATTTCGTTCAGGTTTCAGAAGAGGGATTACATTTATAGGCTAAATATAGATGAGTTCTAATTTTATCAGTTTGAACACAATCCAGTGAATCAAAGAGAAAGTCTGTACTTTAATCGTTCAGCACAGATTATGACTATGTGAATAAAGAAAAAGAAAAGTATCAGCAGGATACAGATCACTGCTTCCATAGGAAAAGACATTCAGTATTTCTGAAGCTAACAGACTCCAAGGCAGTTCAGCCCTGCATTATTTTCTCCCTTCCTGTTATTGTTGGGGAGGTTGTGAGATACGAATCAAAGGGAGACCTCTGCTCACATGTATTCTTCTGGGCAGAGACTACCCAACCACCACAATATCTTTTCATTCCTTCCTGTCCAAGCAGGTAAGTGCACCACGGAGCCCCTGATGGTACAACTAAAGGAACAGTGGCTTTGTATTTCTGTGAGCAACGTCCTTGTGATTCCTAGCACAATACATTCTATTGCACCTGCCAGGGGCACGTCTTTGTTAGAATTGTCAAAATTATTATCTATTGCAGCATCTTTCTTAAGGAAAGAAAGTGAGAAAAAAAAAAAAATGTCCCTTTATAAACACTTTCTCATAGGAAAATCTCAATTAAGCTTTGTGGAATAAATAAAAGGCACTCGGTAGCTCTTTAGCTTATTAGTTGCTAGAAGTAATTAGGCTGAGAGCATTTTTCACACAGAACGGGAGAATTTTTATAATACTTCTTTGGCTCAGCCAAATCGACTTTATTACAGGGATTGTCAGCAGGTTCTTTCCAGCCCTAATGTATACTTAACTTTCTCTGTGCATATTTTGGGATTTTGCTCTATAACATTTCAGAATTCTTTGGATCTTCTGCTTAAATCCTCACACAGCAACACCTACAGGCTTAATAACCTACCTTGAAGGGTTCCAAGAAATGCAGCTGCAGCTTAGCTTACATGAGATTTCATGCTGCAGTGACCACTGACTGAGATTCATCACATCTGGAGCTTCATAAATCCTTACAACTCCATCTGCTGAACAAGTTGCTAACATAAGACCCATATGCTTGGGAGCAAACTTAACATCTGTAACAGATGTCCTACTGTCCACTAGAGTTGTCCTCTTTACCTGTAAACAAAGGCAGAAATTGTTGAAGGAAACGCTAGCAATTCCCATCAAAAACCTATACCATAAAAAAAGCCAATGAAAGTCTGACAGCACCACTTCAAAGCATCATCTAACCATACGCATTTCACATACTAACTCCTCCATCTAGAACTAAAAAAAAAAAAAAATTAAAAAAAAGAAAATCTTTATACACCAGCTTCACAGAAGAAGTAACAGATCACTGCACTGATGCAGTTCCAAACAGGGATATACTCACAGTGACACAAAGGTCCTGAGACCAGCAAGAGTTGTTCAGATTAGATTCTTGGGAAAAAAACATATAATATACAAAATAAGATTACTGCATGCCTTTGACCACAGGCAGTTTGAAACTGTCCTCTTCATTCATATTGGCGACAACGCTAACCGTCAAGCCTACTGTTGCCGCTTTCAAACTTCAGTGCTTTCATCTGCTGCTTTTTTCTAATTTTACCTTGAAGTATTTTCTCAGTAAGAAGTATCAGAACAATAAATATTTCTGATAATAGAGTGGGTGAACTCAAAAGACATCTGATAGAAAGATTAGCTAGGATGAAAAAGGAACAACTGTAAACCCTTGTTTTTTCAAGTTGTCTCCTCTCCTGCTAAGAGGTATGAGTTTGAGCTGAAAATTACAAGTCTCAACAGCCTCCTGTGCGGGCAAGTCAGATTTCACACCCCACTGGGTGCCAATGGTACCTAACTTTTCACAATAATGTATTTTAATATTATAAAACGTCAGATACTGCAGATATTTTAACAACGTAAAATAAACAAAATATTAGAGACAGAAAGATCATACTGACACATGCACGAAAAATACTTGCAAAATAATCTGCTTAGATCTAGAATTCCCTTTGTAAAATGCTGTCCAAAAAAATCTATTTGTGAGTGAAATGTTTTTCCTCCAAACATGAGCTATTGCTTGAAAGAGGAAAAAGAACAGTGTGAGAGAGCTCCAATAAGCACTTACCTCAAAGAAAGAAAGCACAAACTTCAATTCTGCTATAGATGGAATCATGTCTGCAGGTTTTCATGGGGAATATCTTATCAGGAAATGCTAATAGAAATGACACTCATTGGTCTTAATGCTGCTATTCAGCTGTTAACACAGAGGTTTTACAGTGCTTACCCTATACATTAACAAGAGTGATGAAAAATAGCCAGTCAGGAACATTTCATATTAACACAACAGGGTTAATATGGCACCCTCTGACCACTAGGAATAGAAAATATGTTGCAGGAACAGAAATGTCCAGTCACTCAGTATTTGGAACAATTTATCTTCAGCCTTCTGCTTAATTCTAGCGTTTAAACATTTGAAAGCTTCAGTCCTTTATAAAAAGTAAAGGAATCAATGAGGAATGGAAAATACGTTTATATGGAAACAGATAAAACCTGTAATTAATACATCAAAGTCTCACCCAGTGACTCTGCCCTCGGAGCTTATCGTTTGACTCTCCCACTATTTCTTCCCATACAGCTGCAGTTCTATCAAAAGAGCAGGAAGCAAGGACCTGCCCAAATTCAGGATGAGCCCATGTCACACGCCACACAGATCCACTGTGTGTCTGAAAGATAAAAACCAGAACACTGTAACCTAGGGAAACATACTTACTCTATTATTCCAAGTGATCATGCCTGATTTTTAAGTAGATTTTCATACCTTTCTACTGCAAAGAAATAAATCCTAGGAAGTTGGAAGACTATTCCTTTGAACCATATGCACTTTTATAAAGCTCAAAGTTACATAGGAACCATTGATTTTGTTTATTTCTATAAACACTGCAAAATCTTGCTACTATCGGTTAATTATTAAAAGATAATTACTACAAATCTATTTCAAGACGTTATTTATCACTCCTTTAAATTCTAAGTTCCAACAAGTGAGAAAAAAAAAGATTTTGCCTTGATGCAAAAATTACAGCTTTGTTTTCAACTTTCAGCCGTTACCAAGCCCTTTTTTTTTAAGCTCCCCCTACTTTTCTGAAGCATAAGTGGAGCATTACTTATCTTCTCCTTCTTCATAAGGAGCTCCTCTTTCATACCTAGTCAATTGAATGCTTCTTTCTCTAAAGAAAGAGAACTCAAAGACTTCACTTGCATTTCCCTTTATACGGTTTACTGTACTGCAGTCCTATTAAATAGAAGTTTACAGACAGTTGACAAGCTCAATGCCCCAGTTATCCTGATGAAGCATAGAGACTGGTCTTTGTATGTCACAGTTCTCAGAAAAGTTATGAAAAAAATAAAGAGGAGGCCCAATGTTGTAACATTTAATAGACCAGCCTCTTCCTTTTTTAAAGTTTTAGAATATGCAAAAAGGAGACATTCAATTAAAAATGCGGATATTGTTTTCCAACTTCCTTATTCCTGCTACCAGTATGTCTATTGGTAACAAATTCTGCCAAGGTAATTAATTAATGGTACAAGACTGCACGCTAGCCTCTGCTTTAAGTGAGAGGTGTTACAGATGTTTTTTAGAAGTGGAGAAGGCTGTTTTATTATAAGGAACACTGTATCTACAAGAAACAGAAGTATTTATACTCTACAAGTCACAAAAACTAAGTACATTTTGACAAAACATGGGAGAAATTACGGTCTAACTGTGTAATTATTATCAATACAAACCTTCCAGCTGGCAGTGCAATGCCAATCCCCGTTTTCACTTTTGTCCCAGACCTATTGAGAAATCAAAATACAATCATACTACTAAATAAACTTTATATACAAGTTGTATAAAAAAAACAGGGTCATTAAAAAAAAAAAAAAGGACCACAAATTATTTCCCTCCAGAAAATCCTTTCTGGTCCAGTACACTACTACACTTCACTCAACCTTGAAAATATCCTTAATACAGGTCCGAGGAAGAGCCACACATCTGCAAAACCCACTACAGTATGAGGTCTCCTATTTTTTTTACAGAAGACAAATTATTACAATTCTCATCTCTTCACTTTGATCTTACATTCCATGGGCATGCCAAAATTACTCCATTTTACCATAGCACTCCTATGATCCTCACCATGGCATGTGCTCACAGATAGTTCCAAAACCTCGAGGTGGCTTCTGGCAATCACAAAGGACAGAGTAGGACAGCAAAGAGAAACTGATCCCAGTAGGTTAACAGATCTGGTTCATACTATGTCTGACCTGAATTATAACCATCCTGTCAATAATTTTTCTCAACTTCCCAAAAATCTTGTCTTTGCAACTTTTTCAGAGAAATCATGAAGAAACTCATGAATCTCATCAAGGAAAGACAACTCCAGACACCTGGCAGCCACTCCTTGTTTCTCACTCATTCACTGTATAACCGTATTGAAATAACATTGTCTCACTTTTGTCATTCTGGATCTCTAATACAACCTTGGTTATAATCAGTTCACCAGGCCAACTCCACAAAAATTGCTGCCCGATTCCTATTCTGCAGGGCCCACCTAAGGCAGAGGGGACCTAAAACAGACACCAAATAACAGATATACTGCTATTTAAGCAGTGTTGTAAAATTCTCGTTAGAGTAAAATTTCTCAAGACTCTCTTATAAGAGATACTGGTATGACTGGAAAGTAACTTTATACCACTGAACAATATTGTTCCTAAATTTCATCTACCTTATGGCACCTTTCTTAAGTATATTCTCTTTTAAGCTTTACGTTTTATATACTTAATCCAGATCAAAGGCTGACTTACATGCTTGAGTGGGCTTTTTTTGAAGTGCGGGGAAGGGAAGAGGGGCTGTTTACTTATTTTTAAGCCTCATCTAAATTAGACAGCTATTTACTGAAAAGTGCTAACGTTTTATCGGCCATTTTCCAGAACTTAAAAAAGAAAAAAAAATGCTATTATTGCCCTCTGCAAACTGAATACCTTAAATCTAACAGTACGTAACCTCTTCTCCCTATACTCATATAATGGAAAAAGCAATTAACTTTCCATTTATCATGATTTTAGTTCCTCTAAAGGAGTGTGAAATAAAGGTTTCTAGCATTTTATCTGTGTGAGCACGCACAGAACGTTTCAGCTAGTTGTTGATTGTCGGCGCTTCGGTATGAGACGTCGGCTTCCTCCCTTAGTGCCTTCAAATAAATACAGCTTTTCAGAAGACACAAAATAAAACTGCACTGCTGTAGCCACAATGGTTTAAGGATGTTAAAAAAAAAAAAAAAAGTAAGAGCTGTCAGGAAAAAGAACATATCTATTTAGACCAATTAATACCGATAGGAAAAGCCTCTCTGGGTACTGGGGCACACAGTCCCGTCATCCCACGTGACACGAAAACAACAGACTACAAAAACTACTGCTCCTGTTTCAAATCCAAAAAGGAGAATCAGGTGCTTGTGTGGTTTTCCCAGCTGTAGCAAGGGGTCGAAAAAAATTATGTATTCCTGTGTCTGTGTGTGCGTTTGCACATGTATATGTATATATATACTTACATATATACATACTATATACACATGTGCATGTGTATATATGTGTGTGTGCATATATATATATTAAAAAAAGCATTATGTATAAATACATTGTGGCTTTACAGTCCCTGCCGTTGAAGTCTGGGGGCGCAATCATTTAGCTCAAGAACGGCAGCTGGGGCTTTCTGCAGCATTTGCCCTCCGCAGTCCCCGGGGGAGGTCGAAGGCC